TAAAAATAGTTATGCAATTGCCTCCAAGATGTTAACTTATTAGACAAACTTTAAAGCAGGTGTTCTCTCCCCTCACTGCTTATTGGCTGAAAAGAATCTATTTTTATGTGGCAGTGGGGTATTATTTCTCCTAATGAGCTTTTTTAAAATCCTTTAAAACTTTTAAAGAATTGAACTTTTAAGAATGAAGAAAACAAAGACAAAAGTGAAATATTACTCCAAAGGACCAATGGACCACAAGTAGCATAACCTCCACCAGCCTGAGCCCAGAACAACTAGATGGTGCCCAGCTACTGAGGCCGATAGGCACGCCTGTCATCTTGAATAAGCAAGGCGTGGTGGCTGGCATTCTTACGTGATATGAAAACTAACTTCTTACATGTAAGCTATCTCTTTATTAGGTAATGTAGGAACTAACCCCCTGTCTTTAAGGTAGCTCCTTATTTACGTATACTTCTGGTTCCGGTTCAGTTAAGAAAAACAAGACACTGGAGTCTCAAGACGGGTCAAAACTGACCTGGAACCAGGTTTTGCCTGTCTGACATGCTCAGTACTGACAACCATGTACGTTGGATGACCTATTGATGTCAGAGGCCGAAGAACACACCCCCATCGGGGCCAAAACACCATCTTTGTGGCCCCCCTCTTAGACTGAGAAGGTGCGGAAGATCGGTCGGCCCCAGGAACGCCTTTATGGACCGAATCAATCAGCAGGCTGACTCCATCTTGGGGCATCCCTGAAGACCCCAGATGCAATTTACTTTACCCATATAAGCCCCTTGGGCCATTGTTCAGGGAGCCACCTTGGTGACACAAGTCCCAGTGGGCTCCTTTACTTGGCCAACTAAATAAAGCTGCTTTTGCTTTCACCGCTTCGTGTCTTTCTAGCTGCACAGAGCAGACCTGGAAGCATCTGGTTACATTACCACCACCAACCACTCTGACAGGGATCACATAGAGGGTCCCAGACAGAGCGGGAGAAAAATGTAGAACAAAAAAAGACCAGATTTACTGGTCTGACAAAGACTGGAGGAACCCCGAGAATATGGCCCCTGGACACCCTTTTAACTCAGAACTGAAGACACTCCCAAAATTCACCCTTCAGCAAAAGATTAGATAGGCCTATAAAACAACACGTGAGGAACGTGCTTTGTAGTTCAATCATGTATACAAGACTAAATGGGCACACCTGTGCAAAAGTAAAGATGAGAAGGCAGAAAAAGATAGGAGTACTGGACAAATGGAAATGGGGAAGCTGGGGTGGAGAAGGGGAGAGTGTTGACTCATCACAGGGTTTGCAACCAATGTCACAAAACAATTTGAGTATTAATTGTTGAATGAGAAACTAATTTGCTCTGTAACTTTCACCTAAAGCACAATAAATAAATGAGAGAGAGAGAGAGGTTAAACAAGCTAGCAGAGGAGAGATGGGGTAAGGTAGATGCCAAGACACATGGAGATCTCCAAACAACCAGGAAGCAGAAGCTGAAGAGACAAGGACCTTTCTACAGAGCAGACACAGAGAGAAAGCCTTTGCCTAGAGCTGGCACCCTAAATTTGGACTTCTAGCCTCCTGAACTGTGAGAAAATAAATTTCTGTTAAAGCAGCACTAGACAACAAAGACATGCATGTATCTACCTGTGTGCACCATAAATACACGTGGGACATACACACACACAAAAGAATTGAGCTTTTAGGAAAGTAGAAGAGTCTCTCTTTATGAATGGAAGGGTACTCTTTTCACGTCCAGCCCAAAATGGAGATTCAGAGGATAGGCTCTGGAAGTAGACAGCCTGGATCTGATTCCTGGCAGTGCTACTTGCTGGTTGTGCGACCTTGGGCAAATTAGCTAACCTCTCTGTACATCACTTTCAAAAATGAGGATAACAGAGCTGTTATGAGGATTAAAGGAGTCTCCAGGTGGTGCAAAAAATTAAGCGCTAGACTACTAACCAAAACGTTAGTTCAAACCCACCCCACAGCTTCTTGGAAAAAAGGTCTGACAATCTGTTTCTGAAAGGTCACAGTCTTGAAAATTGTTTACAGCAGTTCCACTCTGAAACACAAGAGGTCACCATGAGTTGGAATCAACTCCAAGGCAACTGTTTTTTTTTTTTTTTTAAATGGGGATTAAATGAGTTAGAATTTGTGAAGGGTGAAGCATGTGCCAAGTACTTGTTAAAAAACAAAACAACAAAATGATTTTTCTAATGATAGGACCTTACAGAAATTTGAGCTGTTTGCTTTTGTAAAAAACTAGGGTACATCTAGTGTATTGCTTTAGGACTATAAGTGAGTTCTTGTGAATTTGTTCAGTTGTCTGCTTATCAACAGAGTCTGGAGAGATATACTGCCAGCCATGAGTCATCATGTATGTGTGGGCCCACACCTATAGACCAGGTGGTTCTTTGTGAGGAATTAAGCTCCAGTAAATCACTGAGATTCTTTGCTGTGAAAAAGTTTTACCAAGTGAGATAACGGGCACCCCTTTATTTCACCATCCTGCCTACAATTCTTTTGAAAACCTTTGGAACAAATGACCAAGACACCATCTCGGACCAAAAAAAGCTTGTATCCTATGGTATCAAATACTGTAACTCAAAAGCAGTCTTACACTGTAAGAAACCAATGAAGGGAGAGGATCCGCCCCCCTAGAACTCAGTGATATTGACATTAATAAAAGATAGGGGAACCCCTTTTTTTAGAGCTTTGCTTAGAAACCAAAAATTTAAGGTTTTTTTTTTTTTTTTTTTTTTTAACTCTTGCTCTATGTTTCAGATATCTGGACTTCTGCTAATATCAAATCGTAGTATACAGATTTAAAGAGAAAATACCTCTATAGACATTATTAGTTTCATAAATACTGATATAATCTGTGGTCTTTCCATATATCATCTACTGAAATTAATTAGGTAGCCCTGAATTTTAAATATGTTTTACAAAAAATACCTTTAATTTTGCTGACACGTAAAGCTTTTGGTAAGAGGTAGTATAGCCTGGAGGCTGAAAGCTTGAACTCTGAGCCAGATGGATATATGTCTGAATCGTGGCTATTCCACTTATTAGCTGTACTGTCTTGGCAAGTTGTAAGGTCTCAGTTTGTACATAGTATCACATTCCTGATAGGGCTGTGAGAAGTAAATGTATTAATATGTATGGAACGTTTAGTACTATTCCTGGTACATAGCAATTGCTCAATAGATGTTGATGGTTATTATTGTGACTCTGGCTGTATGGAGAATAGTCACTTCACTCTTTAGAGACACTCCTAAATTAAGGTATTAAGAACTTGATTTCTTTCCCTTCTTCTATCATGCCATTTCATTTTGAAAGCCTCAGCATCGACACATTTAAATGTGGGATTAAATACTCACACTCAGTTTAAGTGTTCACATCTGCACTTCAAACCAAAACTTGACAACTTGAGGCATGAACACTATGTCATCTGCGCCTAGGAGAAATCTAAAAGCCTTAAATGTAGAGAGACCATATAAAAGCTGAGGCTAACCCCACCTAGCTTGTTTACTCCTTTAGGGTGTTATGCTTATTTATATCCCCAATGCCTGGCTCACACCTCTCACTTGGTAGGTGCTCAGCAAATGTTAGTAAGGAATCAGTGGTCCCTTGAGGAGGTTTTTGAAGTAATCCAGGTGATCAATAACGTTTTAACCTCTGTGAATGATTTCCAGCCCGGTAGATTCTCTATGTATAGGGACAAGAGAAAGACGCTGAGAAATACTTCCTGTCCTTTCAAAGCAAGAAAAATCCTGTAACTTTCAAACAATAATGTTAACAATAATATAAGAATTCTCCTCAACCCACTTTAGAACGTGAAGAGATCTTAGAGGTCTCCTAGGCTTAGCCCCTCATTTTACAGAGGAAAACACCCGGACTTTGAGAGTTTGAGCCATTTGTCCAAGGCCACACACTACTCTAATGGCAGAATCAGAACTGAAGTCTTGTCTCTCTGAAATGACCCAGTCCACGGTCATTCACCTGCCTGTGACTTACTGTATCTCTTAAAAGAAAAAATAGGGGGTAAAAAGGAATATCATAGCGATGTTGTTCTGATTACTGCATTTGTAAACTCTTGGAGTTTACCGTTCACATGCACGTGTACACAGGTTGCAGAGCGGACAGCGTTATACACCGGGGCAACCTCAGTGCAAAATCAAGTAATGCTGATCTAGCTCTTTACTTGTATTATTCAGTGAGCAAGGGGAAACGTCTGGGTAATGCACTCTCGGCTTTTTGAGAGGATGAGGCAAGACCTGGCTGATCACCACCATCAGAGCATATCGTGAGATAACAAGCTGGATTGGAGGTTGGAATAAAACAAGGGCAGAATGTGTCCGAGGGGGCCGTGCTGGAGCCTGACAAGAGGGTGTGATCAGATTGAGGTTTTAGAATTTTTATATCAAGACTGAGGAATCAAATAAAAACTCAACTCCTCAGGAGAGCCCTGGAAAGTTTAAAGGAACTAGTTTGAGGGAGCAAGCCACCACAGCTAGCGCCCGCGTCGCCCCGCTTTTTCCCTAAGACTGGGACCTCCACCGCAGCCCCAATCTGGGTGCGCTGTAGCCCGGCCGCGCCCGGAGCTCCTCCTAACCCTCTTGCCACAGCCCTAAGGAAAACTCAGGCTTGAGCAGCGCTTGGGTCTTATCCATCAGCCGGAGGAAAAGGGGGAGGAGAAAGGCGGCGGGAGGAGGAGTTTCTGCGCAGCCCGGAGCCCCCGGTGGGGACGGCGGAGGAGGAGCGCCCTTCCCCCCCCCAAGCGCTGATTGCTGTGGCATCCTGCCCGTCCCCGCCCGCGTGTGTGTGTGTGTGTTTGTGTGTGTGTTTGTGTGTGTGTGTGTGTGTGTGTGTGAGAGAGAGAGAGTGCTCCGGGTCGGCCCGATGGGGGTAATAGAGGCTTTTGGGGACGCCGAGCGGCGCTTTCCTCCTCCCAGTGAGTGAGGGAGAGAAGTCAGAGGCGCTCGTGCCCGGCCACTTTCTCTGTGCGATCCCCGGAGCTCCCTGCAGGAGGTGAAAGTCCCGTGGCGAGTCCGGATGGCGTAGTTGCGCCGCGGCGCAGCAGCAGCTGCCGGAGCTCGCCGCCGCCGAGTGCTGGGCGGGGAAACTTTCCTCTGCTTTCCTCCAACTTGCCGCGGGTGGATCTTCGCTTGACACACTGCCTCCGAGGTACGTGCTTGCCTGGCCTTGCGGCGCTGCAACCTCGCGCCGGACGCCCCTTCCCGCGCCGCTTGCCCAGCACCAGCCCGGGCCGAGGACTCTGCAGGCTTCGCGGTGCCCATTGGTGCTGCGCGGGATTTCCGTGCCTGTTTCACGGCCAGGGTTGCTCCGGGTGCCGGGACCCCTGGGCTTGGGATGGCGGTATTTACGCTCGCCGGAGCTGGTACTCTGGGTGGGCGGTGCGTGGAGAGCCGCGGCCTGGGGTGGCCAGCGCTCGGGCGATGCGCTGGGCTGGAGAGGAATTCCCTTCCTCTCCTCGTCCGCTCTTTTCCTCTCTGCGGTTTCTTCTGACCCCGGCGGGGCGCGCCGGCCAGTTCCCTCCGGGCGCGTGACAGCGTCGGTGGGAGAGGTTTGTTGTGGGTTTGCACTCAATTGCCGCTGGAGAGGCTGTGGCTCTGGGACTTGCGTAGGGACGCGTGCTGCGCTCGCCGCCGGCCGCACCCTCGGGGTGCTCCACGGGCGGCGCCGAGCGCTGCACCCTGGAGTCCTCGCGGAGAACGCGCCCGCTGTTTATTTATTAGGCGCATCTTCCCGTTTATTTTGGAGTCTTCTTAGTATGTTTATTTGATTAGAACAAACTCGGAAATCTGCTTGCAGACTTGTTCTTTTTAGGCTATTTGCCCCACTTTCCAAAATCATCTAGGGTAGGGGGAGCCGGCGTGTCAGGCTTAAATGATCTTGGCAGAGTGGAACTTAATGGATTTGGTGTCCACGGAAAAAGCTGGGAGCGGATAATCGCTGCACTTCCTTAGCTGTGAAATGAGAATAATAGTGCCAGCCTCTTAGGCTGCTGTGAGGATTTAGTATGCGTTAAGTGCTTGGCATCGAGTAAGCGCTGATCCAGTGTTAGCGCTGCTTGCCCAAGCCCTGCGGTGGCGGGAGAAGAGCGAGAATAGAAGGTGGTAGGAGTGCCGGTCTCTGATGGGGAACCAGGCGTTTTCCGAGCTCCATCTCCCTTCCAAGAAAAGTAATTGAGCAGTTTGGGAGGAAAGAAGGAAAAATCTATTCAAGTAGCAAAAACATTTATCAAGACTTATTAATTTTCCTGAAATGATATTTCAGGCTGCAAGCACCTACTTTAGTGTGAAATCAGCTGTTTCTTTTGGGTAATAATAATAACCCCAGGAAAAAACCAAACCCGTTGCCGTTCACGCACAGTGACCCTATAGGACCCCATAGGGTTTTCTCATTCGGAGTGGCTGGTGGGTTCCAACCACCGATCTTTTGGTTAGCAGCCAAGCACTTTAACCACTGTGCCACCAGGGCTTCTGTTAATAATAATAGCTAACGTTTTCTGAGCCCAAACTGTGTGCCAGACATTCTGCTAAATGCTGTAATGGATACAGTCACACTTCATCCTCCCACCACCTCTGTGGTAAAAAAACATTATTAATAGCCCCATTTTACAGATAAAGACACTAGAGGCTAAATTACTTGCCCAAGGTCATACAGCACTTTCTATTAGTTCTATTGGAGAGTCAGCTTAGTCGCTCAGTGGAGAGCAGTGAGTGTGGTTAGATTTGTGTACAGTGAGCCCATGCATCTTCCCCATCTCAGCTTCCCATTTGAATTGAACACCTGTAAGGTATATGTGATTAATTTATGTGATATGCTTATGGGGGTGTCAAATTACAGCGCTTCTGAAACTAGCTCCAGATAATTATAAATAGAACTCTGACTTATATTAATTAATTTAGATCTTTATTCTTAATTTCTTTTATTAATTCTCCAGACATTGTTGATCAGCATTATTTGGCTTCTGTAGGAAACAGCTTGAGGTTGGCATTAGGAGGCAGGGAAATAATTCTTACCCCCTTAAGAGCTATTAAAATGAAATTGATTCCATGCCATTGTGTCAGTTAAAGGATGTTGCTCTGTTTCTTGGTGTTCTTTGCTTTTGGCTTTAATTTTGCATTGTTTAATGTTTCAAGGCTTCAGCATATTTTTCCCTTCAGTTTGTCTTTGTCAACTTTAATTTTTCCCGTTTTGATGGACTCTGACTGTTACATGGCAGCTTTGCTTAACAACTGTTGATTCAGCTCATGTTTTTAAATATAAAATCACCAACCTGCTTTTGAACCCAAGCACTTCAAAGGCATACCCTGGGGAATTCATTGTTATTTTGAACATTAGCCAATAGGGGGAGCATAATACACTGTTGATGTCTCTAAGGCACCTAAACCAGATTTTAGGGTATTAAACATACATCTCAAAAGTGGAAAATGTTACTGCTTTATCTAGCAAAACAACCAAGTTGTTTTCTGAGTTTACAGTGGAGAACTGGATTTAATTTCAACTGGTTAAAATCAGAATGACCTTGAGGACAGGGACTGTATATTGGACGTATGTCAAGAACTCTGTGGTGGCTGGACAGATATTAAATACACACACACGTAGGTTTTTGTAGTTTGTTTTCCTTAATAGGTGTATATAAAAGTATTTTGTGTAGTTTGAATGATACTTCAAATTTTCTAGAAGGCTGGCAGTCCAGAGAAATCCATGATGAATCATTTTTTGTAATGATCCTCATTTGTCTTTTGTAGAAAACTGGCTATAGTGAATTTGCTGTCAGGAAGATTGGGATACTCACAATCCTGTCGTTATGCTCTTTCATTAACATCTTCCAAGTGCAAGACAATAAGGGATTGTGATCCTAAGTAAAGGGGGCAGGCAGTGGTGGTTCAGTGGTAAGAATTTTCCACTTCTGCCTGTGAGATGTGGGTTCTATTCCCAGCCAGTGCACCTCAGGGGTAGCCACCACCCCAACATAGGTTGCATGTTGCTATGGTGCTGAACAGGTTTCAGCAGACTAGGAAGAAAGGCCTGGAAATCTGCTTTCAAAAATCAGCCAGTGAAAGCCCTATGGATCACAACGGTCTGATCTGCAACCAATCAAGGGGACAGCCCAGCACTGGGCAGCGTTTTGTTTCATTGTGCATGGGGTCACCATGAGTCGAAGGCGGACTCAATGGCAACTAACAACAGCAACAACATCCTAAGTAACAGCCATTAATTCTATTGCTTTGCATTCTTCAGATGCTTATATTTTAATATAGTAATAGTTCAGAAGTATCATATTTATCTTGTATAGGCGTGATGTGTCTATAGGCACTCATACCTGTAAATATAAACAATACTTAAGAATTAACCTGCTTGGAAAAATAGTCAAATCAACTCCTTTTAAAAAAAGGTTTTCAATATTTGCAATTTCCTCTCGTTTCTTGTTGTTAGATGCTGCTGAGTTGATTTTAACCTTTCATTTGAATCCTGGTTAGCAGCCAGCGCTTAACTGTTTGCGCCAGCAGGGCTGTTTTTTGTTTCTTGTGTAGTTCTTTCTATAGTATTAGTTTAACTTTATTTCATTTACCAAGTTAGGATCAGGTGGATCCGGTTTAAAAATAACTTTCAAATTTAGTCCCTTCTTTCTAAATCTCAGCATTGTTCTCATGCTTCAGAGTAGCATTTTATTTAAGATCTGATTTAGTCTTCCGTGTTCTGAGTTACTCATTGAGCAAACATTTATCAACCCCCTACTCTTATGACTCCTGGTTTTAGAAACTGGCAAATTAGTGCTCTTTTAATCATCAGATAGCAGGGGGCCAAGACTCCTTAAGGCTGCCTGGGGCTTTGTCATGGAAAGCGTTTATGGATGGACAAAATTGGGTTGCTTGAAGGAAACTATTGTCTCATTCTTCTTGAGACTCAGAAGAATACATCCTTTCCTTTTGCATGCAGACTTTGTGGTGTCTTGTAAAAGGTCAGGTGGCTGCTTTTCTGGGGGCAGATTCTGGGCCTAAGAGCCCAGGGAACTCAAATGCCCTTTGAGTGCTAAGAAGGTGATCACTGCTGACTTCTTTAGTACCTAAGGGATGACCAATTTCCTGGGATTGTAAATCTGTGGAAGGTTCTGACTTTACATTTTAAGCTTAATAGGCAGAGCAGTTAGAATTTATGGGATAACTGGTAAGCATTAACATTGCCATAATATTTTTCCTGGATGATTCTGCTCTGTGGTCATTTTGAATTATCCTCATTCTTGGTAACTCATTTTGAGAGTGTGTCTTTTTTTTTTTTTTTTAGTTCTTTCATTGCTATTGGAAAAAAAAAAAAAAAGCAAAACAAAACAAAATACCAGATTTGTTGGTTAATAGAGAGCAGTTTTTTTTTAAAAAAAATTTTAATTCTTAACAGTTACTTTAAAACTGATATTATTGCTGATTCAGTCTTTCTACTGGAGCATTTCCTTTGTATTTTTAAACTGCTTTTTAAAAATTTGAAATTTAAAAAATGTTAATGTCTTTGAAGTTTGCATGACTCGAGTTAGATAAATGTTTTTTAGCGATGAAAAGCAATGAAATTTCAATTAGCCTTTAATAAATTCAATGAAGGCGTTTGTGGTTTTGGAACAAAGTACTGCATCAAGCTCCATGGCGGACATTTTTCTGGTTCCACATCTTCAGAGTAACACTTGAAATGATAGCATTGTCTCTTTGTAGCATTATAAAGCATAAGCTGTTGCTAATTTGTTTGATTTCTAGTCCAGCTCTAAAGTAAATCAACACCGTTTGGAAGGGCCTTACAAAAAGTTCTGGGTCCATTTCCTGGGCTCTGGCCATTACTAGATGTCTTGTTTTGTATCTTCTGAAATAGCACATTTGTTTGTTAACTGACATTGAGCATTGTTTTCTCTGCCTGAAAAGTCCTTGCTTAAGATTTGCCACAAATTTCCAAGCATTCTGCCTCCCCTCTTAGAGATAAAGTAATGGTTTTTATCTCTCAACCAAGATCTGTGCAGTATTTAGTGCTTGAAGCAACAGTAATAGAAATTTTTGTGTGAGACCACTCTCATTTGGGTCTTCTGCAGCGTTTTTTATTCTTCAATTTTCTAGGCCAAAGATCAAGACTTAATAGGCTGACAGTCATCAGGATTGTCCTGGGGAGTCGGTGAT